TGAATAAAATTCATACTACATTAGTAGTCATTTTTTGCTGTACGCGGGTTTTTGCTGTCGGCCGGAAAGAAGCCCATTCAAAAGACCGCGTTTAAGCGCGACGTAAATGTATTGGAACTATGTTGCAGGATGATCAATACTACAGCACCCCCTAAATACTCACTTTTAATAAAAAGCACATTTCCACATTTCGCTTTACATTTCATTAGACAGACCGGCTATTGTAATTAAGTTGGAATTAATCCCTCATAGGACTGCAGCTAGCGGTTTTAGCAAAATAAGTAACCTAAACAGTATACCTATATTGATGTCATAACGTCCCTGTTATTTCCGTTGGATGGGATGGCCTGATGAGAATTTTAACCTTCATACTAGCGAAGTAGCACCTGCGAACTACTCACATTTTGTTCAGAATTTGTTAAGTATCATTTCTGAGGAGTGCCGACTAAGGTTTGCCCGGACTTAAACATGGCCCTGGGAGTTTCCTCCTCCAAATTAGGTGGTTCGACAGAATGAAATTCTTACTCGATCACTTTATCATAGACATGGAGGTTGCACCTCAATAGCCGTGGGTGTCGATCACAGATTCATTTGATTATGTCTACTTATGTTTAACTAGTAGCCATGTTTAAATTTCTGAAGGAAAAGATCGCAAAGACGCAGGAAAATAGTTCCGTTTCGTCAGACATTACAGCTTCGAAGAATGGTTACCCGAGGGAGAGCGGAATCGCAGTGCAAAACAATCCGTGGAGAAGGCTTCCGTTGCAATATACTTGTGAACTTCACTTAGTCAGGATTCATATCACTAGGCAGATAGAGTTTTGCGAATATTCCCATGTCGCAATTGAAAAGTCAATTTGGTAAACACGTGTTTTCGATAACTCGTCATAAGGCCAAAAGAGTTACACAGAAGTTGAAAAAATGCAAAGTTACAGGGTTCATAAGTGACGTTATCCGCGACATGAAATACCCGTTGGGCATGCCAGTGGAAGCGTTAAAAGAACTATTAACACGTTGCACGAAAAACGTCCAGTTTCTCTTCAATGGTCAGCTGTACAGGCAAATAGACGGCGTAGGGATAGTCTCACCTCTCGGTGCGTTCCTCGCAAATGTTTTCCTGGGCGAGATGACAAGTTTTCAAGATACTATTAATGACCTCGACTTCTACAGTCGGTATATGGACGATATTTTCTACCAACGCACACACTTCGGGATTGGGTATGACTGGCTGAGGACAGCTAATAAGCCAGAAATGGCCATTCCAGTCCCCTTGTCTTTGTCGGTAATGCCATTATGCCTTTATCATGCGTCGCTGTGCGGCTGCTGGTTGGGCTCGAGAGAGAGCCCTTAAGGCACAACGGAACGAGTGAGTTCCGTCAGAACGATCGGTGAGCGCCCCCTACCATTGTATATTCCCGATCGAAACCGACAGGGCAACGGGCTCGTGGCCCAGTGGTCAGAATCGTGGATTTCTAACCAACAGGTCACGCGTTCGAACCTCGGGCGTTCCACACTTCGGGATTGGATATGACTGGCTAACGACGGCTAACAAGCCAGAAGTGACCATTCCAGTCTCCCTTGTCTTTGTCGGTAATGCCATTCTGCGATATTTTCTGCCTGACGGATGTTACCACCGACACAGACGCCGTGGTCCAAGAGTTTAACTGTGTACACCCCTCAGTAAAGTTCCTTGCAGAGTTTGAGGCATACAACGAAATCGCGTTTCTCGATGTTCCTCTGTACAGATAAGAGGATGGCTCTATCCAGCGTAGGGTATTCCGAAAGAAAACCTGGACGGGACAATGCACTAATTTTCACAGTTTTGTTCCCCTAAATATTAAACGCAATCTGATCTAGGGATTGGCAGCTAGAGTGCAACGTATCTGCTCTCCTGAGACTGTTGAGACGGAACTTCAGCAACTGCGGGATATACCCCACGAAATATAAGGGAACGCACTGCGAAGCACATCATGACAATTGCAGAAAAGAAAAACTAATTCATAAGACAACCTTTTCAAGGAGACGCAGCAAGTGAGCTGGTAAGAAAACGTCTGAAGACAGCGATCTCTAGCGCTTTCCTCGTGGCGAATTTACATGTATGTTTCATGAACTCTCCCCTCCTACGCTTTGGAGGTAAAGACCGACTGCCTTTGATGGCCACATCGATGTGTATTTGCTCATTCACTTGCTCCTGGGAAAGAGGGTACGCGAGCACATACCGGTCTAGTTAGGCAGAGGTGAAAAGAAATCGATTTCGAGTTCTATTCTCAAACAACTTGTCAATATGAATCACCGAGTCGGTGCCAAAGAAGCCTTTCAGGCTGTCTATAGGACACCAGCAAGCTTCCTCCAAGGCCTAAGTCAACGGGTGCTAGCTACAGCCGAGGCAATGGCTATACGGCTAACAACTCCAGTGCTATGTTGTCAGAAGTAGTTGACACAGGCGTTCTGACTTCCGTGGCCAACGCCGACCCCAGATGCTGATTGCATGTCTCCCCAACCTCCTGATGGCAGTGGTGTATGCTCAACGTACTTGACTTAGAAGCCTCACTCACATCCTGTGTCACCCCTCCTCTTCGTCCCCTTGACCCAATGACTATAACACGCCGAGCACGCCATAACATGTCTCACCATGCGGAAGGTGTGGGAACGATGATTCTTAATAGCCCCTCAATCACTTATAAACCCTGTAACTTCGCATAGTTTCAACTTCTATGTAATTGTTTTGGCCTGATAACGAATTACCGAAAACACGTGTTTGTCAGAAAGAGTTTTGTCGATGCATGGAACAGTGAGATTTTCCCTTTTGCCTGCACAGACTGAATGGTTCAAAACTCGACCTTTTAGTATCAAGCTCAGGGAATGGAGATTGATTGCATAATGGGCACCGGTTTTGTGCCCACAAGCAGACAAAAAGTAGATCTTCGATCTGATTACAAGTTGACTTCGACCAGTCCGCCTGCCCTTATTGTAACGCGGAAGCCAAGCTAGACAACTCATCATCATAATCATCATCACTCAACTCTACATAGTCCCGATCGTAAACGACAGGGAGTAGATCTGGACCTGGTGTGTTGGGGCACTTAACTGAAATGCCTGTTGACCAAACTGCACGGGTTAAAAGCCTACGTATATTCAAACTACATCCGGAGTCATGGCTATCAACTAAGGGCAACTGCGTCAGAAGTGAGTGTTGTTCAGCTCTTCCTTGTTTAACCGGCTACGCTCACAAAGCTGATCATTGTTTTGAATGCTACGGAGTATTTGAATGCAAATCATGAGAAGTTCATCCTGCCTTGGCGCTTAGTCGATTTGTGCATTTCGCAAAACGGGCATAAATAGTTTCGATATTGGGAACAACTCGAAAATTATCAGCATGAAATGCTGCAACTACTCACTGCGAAACACATTAAATAATCATTAAAATTCTAAAATACGGGTTGGTTTAGAATAAACGACCTGAGAGGGCATGCAACACCTACAGTAAGTGGGCTAATTCATGAAATGCCGACCGAAATTACGAAAGGCGTTTTCATACCGAAAAGATTAATTAGGTAGGGTTGTAAAACTAATCATCATGCAGGATAATTCAATAATAATTAAGTTACCTTAGGATGCCTGCTTTTGAAAGAAATTCTTTGCGACTCCATGCAAAAACTCTACTCCGTAAAAAGTGACTAAATAAGTAGCATGGACTTTTCTCATTGATTTTCGGTGTCCTTAAAAACCCAACCATACTTCATGAAAATATGCATAAAAATATTCATCCTTTTGCTTGTTCGGTAAAAAATTTCGTCTCCTTCCAATTTTATGTTTGAAGAAAGGATAAAATTCAGTCTTCAAAAACTTTTCTATTTCCTGAATAATTTTGAACCCGACCTGTTATCACACTTGCATTCAGGGTTCCCAAACTTAAAGCCGCATATTTTACGCGTACGAACAATCATACATTTCTCTGCGGCATTAAGAAGAAACCATATGGGGTTCATAACACTTAGCAGTGGATTTGAGTCATACCGTTAACTTTACAAGCCCATTGGTAAATGCAGAGACACGACGTTTTATGAACGGTCATTTCACGCTATTTAAAATTCCCACAATCGGAAACCTTTTGAAAACCAAATTATACCATTTCTTTGGATATAAAATTGAAAGAATACCTAATTTTCTACCGAATGAGTAAAAGAATAAATATTTTTATTCATGTTTTCCACGAAATATAAGTAAATTTCTATTGACACTGAAAATCAATGAGAGAAATGCATGGTTCCAAAGAAGTCATTTTTTATGAAGCATAGTTTTTGCATGCAACCGAAAAGAAGTTCGTTCGAAAGCTGGCATCCTGAGGTAACTGAATTATCATAGAATTATGCTGCATGAGGATTAGTTTTACAACCCTACGTAATTAATCTTTTCAGTACGAAAACGCATTTCGGATGTTCGGTCGACATTTCATGAGTTAGTCCATCTACTGTATAAGTTTGTACCTTGCGTTCGTGTAAGTAATTTATGCCAGAACGCTGTCTCCTATATAGGTACTTTTTCAATTACTCAACAGAATCCCATTTACTAGGAAATGACTATAAGAGTAATTTTACATCGTTCCGGCATCTTTATAAATTCTAACTGCTTTCTTGTAAAATCTGCGCTGAATTAGCCCTTTTATGACCACTTCATAGTAAGTGGCGTCTTCGTAAAATGTTTAAGAGAACAGAATTCAACTTCCAAATCGTTTTTCAATTACCGAAATCGCATCTTCGTCTTCTGAACTGCTACCTGGAACTCGTCTGTTCGCTTCTATCAGCAATTACTGAATAATTTTGAAATCTTTTTGCCGTTGCACACGCGTTAGGGAAATTCTATTACACCCCTAAAACGGACCACACGGAAGATGCGCTGCACCAACGCAGAGACTAGATCGGTATTCGGCAGATGTTTTCGGGAATACGCATCCATAATAAATGCCAACATTCGGGCTGTGCAGTGGCACGCCCAGGTGCATGCTCAGTGAGAAAAATGCATGCTACTTATGTAAGTAGTCACTTTTTACAAAGCATATTTTTACATGCAGCCGGAAAGAATTTCAGTCTACTGCCGACATCCTTAGGTAACTGAATTATCATAGAATTATGCTGCATGAGGATTAGTTTTACAACCCTACGTAATCAATCTTTTCAGTACGAAAACGCACCTTACGTTCTTGTAATTCTTTTATGACAGGACACTGTCTCCTAAAAAGGCACTTTTTTAATCACTCAATTAAATCCCGTTGACTTGGAAATGATCATAAATGTAACGTACTTTTTACATCGTTTCGGCATCTTTATGAATCCTTACTGCTTTTGTGTAAAATCTACGCAGAATCAACCCTTTAATGTTTACTTCATAGTAAGTTACATCTTCGTAAAGTGTTTAAGAGAATAGAATTCGAATTCCAAACCGTTTTTATTTAATTAATGAATAATTTTGAAATCTTTTTGCCGTTGCGCACGCGTTTGGAAACTATTATTCGGCAGATGCGCTGCACCAACTCAGGGACTGGATTGGTGTTCGGCAAGCGTTTTCAGGAATACGCACCCATAACAAATGCCAATATTCGGGCACGCCTAGGTGCATGCTCACGCCACGCCAACTGGGATCCGTTACGCCCCAATTTCTCTTGTTGTGTAAAATCCAGGTCATTGTACGTTATGGACTAGGGGTGGTGCAGCACGCCTTGGTGCGAATTTTTCATCAAGCCAGCCACCTGCGCTCCCTTCGGTCTCCGGTCTTCTTGACTCCGTCGTGGCACCGGGCCCAGGTGGGAGAAAAGGGTAGAGTGCTGTAGACGCTGCGAAAGTCTACTATCACTGTAAATTAACACACCCGCATTCCACCGTCCCTGCTCTCGCCCTGCTGTGGAACACATGGTGGACGTCATCGGTCATGACAGCCAAGCTGTCAGAGGATTGTAAACTGCACGTCGTCATTGGACGATCATAAAACATAGCAGTTGATACGGGTCACATCTTACACTTCCGAAACAGCATTCCTACACGCAGGAATGCGATGCTACTTCAATAAACCTCTCAAGGTCTTACAATCTCTCTTAAGATCGGCGAAATTGGCAGATCCAGGCTAATTATTTGAAGAAGAAGAAGATGATGATGATGATAATGATGATGATGATGATGATGAGGAGGAGGATGATGATGATGATGATGATGATGATGAGGAGGATGATGATGATGATGATGATGATGATGATGATGATGATGATGATGATGATGATGATGATGATGATGATGATGATGATGATGATGATGATGATGATGATGATGATGATGATGATGATGATGATGATGATGGGCTCTCCGGATCACGTTTATTTGGATGCTAACGTTTCAAAAAGCTTGGTCGGTCCTCCATTGTCGAAGCGGAAAATACACTTAATCGATCAGAAATGTAATGTGGCATGTTGTGTTGACCGGTCTCATGCTGATCGATTTTTCCCTTCCCTCGCTGTCTCGGCTTCTGGGGGGATGGTTGACGGACATTTTGCCTGCGTGCTTCGTGAGTCACCACTCCGTCGGCGGGAGCCCGACAAAGGTTCAATCTGGGCTTGAGATAAGGACGGAAACGTGTTGGAGTTAAATTCTGCTCTGAAAGATGTGAACTAACGTGCCGACGAAAGTAAATGTGTGAGAAAACAGGCGTTTGAAACTACATCAGCGTCCAGATCGAACCGTTGGCTGGATGAGATGTTTTGCTTCCTACATTGTTCATTCGCAAAGATGGCTGGTCAGTTTCATTGGCTACCATCCGGTCGGCATTCATACGGCGAATTCGCATACTGCATGCTGCCCACGTCAACCAGGTGTCAGTCAAGAGAATTGTCGCAGTGAGGGATTGAGTGGTGTAATGACGCATCTTCTACCATTTCTATACTTCAGGGGTTGTCTGTGTTTGACTTTTCAGTGACCACAACTTCAAATGAGGTGGGTGGCACAGGCGAGCCATTTGATATTGTTTTAACCTAGACACTTGTCTGACCTGATGCGTTGTCCCGGCCTAAGATGGCAGCTCTCAGGATATCGATAGTATGCCCAGTTTCTCCAACGAGTGTTGCTAGTTGAGAGTTAGGGTCCAACCTCCGCGTGGCCGATGTGTGCTCTTGTAGGGGGGTCTGCAATTTCCGCCCGGTTTATCCCACATATGTGCAGTCGACCTCATTGCAATTTATTTTGTAGATGACTGCTGAGGTTTCAGCGGGTAACAATGGGTTCTTGGGTTGCATCAGGCGACGTCGAATTGTTGCTTGGGGTCGATGGGCTATGCCTACTCTGGCGGGTTGTAACAGTCGAGAGACCGCCTCAGAGACCACTTTAACTTAGGGAACGGCCCTCCAGACTTCGGGCTTTCGCTCATTTGGTTGTCATCTGTGCGTCCGACGTCTACTTCTTTCGATGAAATGTCTGGTATAACCATTGGCTGCAAATAGGTTCTGAGGGTACAATCGTTCGGCTCTTTTATATTCTGGCGTGCTGCAGTGTGTTTCGACTTTTTGGAATAGAGTGCAGACACAAGTACGTTTGGTAGTCACGGCAGGGAAAGCACATTCAGCGTATTCATAAGAATAATATAGTATAAGTCTTGTTGATATTATTAATAAGAGTATATACAACTAAAGTAAAACTGTGTTAGGGGGCGCTCACCGATCGTTCATACGGAACTCACTCGTTCCGTTGTGCCTTATAGGCTCTCTCTCGAGCCCAACCAGCAGCCGCACAGCGGCGCATGATATAGACAGAATGGCATCACAAGTACGTTTGTGAGACAGAGGATGGTTGTTGTTGAAGTGTAGGATCTGTCTCGTATCGATGGATTTACGGAATACTGTGGTATGCATTTGTCCAGTTGTATACCGGCGCACAAGCACGTCAAGGAAGGACAGTTGGTTGTTTGCTTCTGCTTCCATCCTAAATTGGATATTCGGGTCTACCGAGTTCAGTAGTTCCTTTAGGTGCTTAATGTCGGTTTTTTTGACAACGACGTAGAGCTTGGGACCAAACAACCACTCCGGACTTAAGAAGGCCGTACGGAGACAGCCCGACGGCGAGTTTGCTCGGTGAGGAACAACAAGAACAGCCAGACCGACCTCCCGGCAAAGGTTCTATCAACTCCCCCGACGGAGTGGTGACTCATAAAGCACGCAGGCAAAACGCCTGTTAACCATCACCCGAGAGGTCGAGGCAGCGAGCGGAGAGAAAAATCGATCAGGATGGGACCGACCAACACAACATGCCACTTGAAATTTCTGATCGATTAAGCGCATTTTACGCTTTGACAATGGAGAGCTGACCAAGCTCTTTGAAACGTCAGCATTTAAATAAACCTGTTCCGGAGAGCCCTTCTTCTTCTTTTTCTTCTTCTTCTTCTTCTTATTCTTCAAATCTCTCTTAGTTTAAAGCATTTTCAAAACTGAAGAGCCCAGATTCTTTTTTTGTGCATAAAACTCAAAGCCGTCGTAATTTCTTGTGAAAGGACTGTAAGAAGACATACATTTCATGAGTATTTTCCAAGTTGCATTTATAAAGGTACCCATAATAAATACAAAAACCCTGACTACCTGAAGTCATTTCTAACGAATGCTTTTTTTCGCATATGTCTGCAAAAAGATCACTCAAAAGCCAGTATTCTGCGTTTATGGGATTATGTTGTACGCTAAGCTTTACTGGAACCTCAACTGAGTATTCATTTCTAGTCGAAGTAATATTTCGTGAATTAGATCAACTACTAATAGTTTAACCTTAGAGACGGAAAATGTTCGTTGCAAACTGACCAGGAGGGCACTCTATGCTTAATGTATTCTTTCGTCTGTTACTTCTTCACCCAAACGAGGTTTAAATTTGGATCGTCAGACCAATAGACTTCTCGCTCCAGCGTTCGAGTACGCTTCCTCGCGCTGATCGCTGGATCATATCGAGAATGCACCTTGCTTAGACTTTCTCCTCCGTAGGCATAGAAATGCCGCTTAAGAGGACGGATCTGCGAAGCGATCCGGGCTAGTGCTTTTACCTCTGGCTTTCCAGCTGTTAACGCGCGAATGTTCACGTCCGAAAACGCGGAAACACCGGCAACTGTACCGCCGACACCTATGTCCGTGCTTTTAGTTCACCCTCTGCGACAGCTAAGTTCGACGGTTTTAACCCTCCAGTTTTCTGACAGCGCGTGTCTCTCGGGCATGAAGGAAGGAAGGAAAGGCAGGTCGAGGGACGGCGTTGGCCGCTATCGCGTACGTGCATACCCAGTCCTGTTTATATGTCTACGCCAAGAGCGCGCGTCGTAGGCGGATTTTATGCTTGCCCTTCTTTGGCAAATTAAAGGGGAACTGGCGCACTGCGAGCGCCATCCCTTGGCTCACCTGGTCAGGCCCATGTGTGCAACAGCACACCCCGAGGCGCTTATACGCACGCACGCACGCATGCATGCGCGTGTGACCCGATCGATAGCACTTCGGCGTCCCCACCGAATGCCTGTGTGCGTACGTGTGTGCATGTTCGATCAGCCAGATTTGGGCGCCGTTCACCAGGCAAATGCCTATTGGCCAACTCTGCCAACAACGTCAAACGTTGGCATAGGCAGGTAAAAAGATGCCTGGCGCAGGGCACTAAATTCGATTAAAATTTGATGGTCTAAAGGTCGGAAAACAGGGGGCTTTCGGGGTGACTACCGGGGTTTACGGTAGGGGAATGAGACGTGCGAGATTGACACCGAGAAATTGAAAGCTTTAGTTTGTCAATCCGCTGCCGCCAGTCTTGACATTATCAGTCTCATGGGTGCAGCCTTGAGTGCGTGATTTTGACGGGCAGAAGTTCCTGGTAGAACCCCTGCTGTGTCATAAAATGTTGGTGACAAAGTGGTACTAACACCCATTGTCGGTATACGCTAATATAAGGAGATCCGATGCATGAAAGGCCAATGCCATTCTCCCCCTCGGTAAATGGAAGAGGTTTAGTGTATAATTAGTCGTTCAACATAAGGCCAAGGCACATTTGGCAGCAATTAATGTACTCTTCGCATTTAATACTTCTTTTAACCGTGACTGGCTCGTAGTTTTCAGTAGGAAGGGCGAGTTATAGTTAGCTGAACGACAGATGATTTACCTTGAACAACTTGGCAGAGGGATGGTCCATCTACTTTCCGTGTGAAATGTACCAGCAACGTCGCATTCAGCAATCCGATGAGGTCCAATCATCTTCCTTACACAATCTTGATCTGCTAAGACTTGCAACAATATCAGTCACGTTTTCAAATGCTAAAGGGATCCCTAAAGTTGCCCTATTTCACGTGAAAAGTCGACGAAGCGTGTCCTCTGGTCGGTCTTTAGTTCAAACCTAAGGCATGCCGGTGTTCTTAGATGGCACGGGGTGTATGTGGCTAGTTTCTTGCGTAATCCTTCACCCATCTCCTGAAAACCCTTAAGTACGCGCATGACTCATGCGCTATGCCACATATGGATTGTTTAGAATACCATACTGCTCTGGCAAACGATGGCAATCAAGCGTTTCGTCAGGAAGAGGTATCCAGCCATGCATTTAATTTGAAAGCCTCGATGATTTAGATTTTTTCCTTTTTAATTTCCTCGGAAATTAACTGCGAACTTGGAGTAGATCAGTATATACTAGGATGCATAGGTCCAGGCCAAAATTTCATGTATGAGGAAATTAAAAAGTAACAACTTGTAGACCAGAAAGCGGACGGGGAATGATGGGGGACCTAATGAAGAGCCGAACCCCTCGCAGCTGTACCCTGCAGCAGCAGAATATCGGCGAAACACGCCTGTATGGGCTTTTGGCGAGTACGTTTGCTGCTCGTATGTCGCCTTTTGACCCTAGATTTGTTCAACACTTTCCACTTTGGCACTTATAACTGTTCCCGACTGCAGACTGTTTCGCCGTTTAGAAAAAGCCAACAGTGCAACAAAGGCATGAAATTTAGAGAAGAATAAAAAAGAAAAATTAATCCAACTTTTTCCTTATGTGAAGTTTATTCAACTTCTGCGTCATGCGAAGAGTCATTGCAAATTGTCTCTTTCCCACCTTGATTTGACAATCTTGTCATTTCAGAGTGCTGAATTTGGTCTGAGTTCGGCCGAAGCGGGCTTTTTGTCTGTGAAGGGAAATATATGCTTCCGCTTTCCTGCAGACAAAGGTATAGTAGGTGGGCTAACTCATGAAATGTCGACTGAAATTTCGAAATGCGTTTCCGTTTCTAAAAGATTAATTAAGTAGGGTTGTAAATCTAATCATCATGCAGCATAATTCTATAAAAATTCAGTTGTCCCAGTACGCCGGCTTTCGAACGAACTTCTTTCCGGTTGCATCCAAAAACCATCCT